GGTACATACTGGTCCTTACTGGTTTGTACCGGTATGTACTGGTCCTTACAGGTTTGGACTGGACCATACTGAGCCCCCTCTAAAAATCCTCTGAAATTGACCCAAAACTGTGCCTAAAAATTCTCAAAATATAAAAGGGGGTCAGAATTCCCACAGAAAATCCTGAAATTGCTAAAAATTAACCCAAACTGTCCACAAAAAAATTCCCCAAAAAATAAAAGAGGCTCTGTGCCCTCTCTAAAAATCCTCTGAAATTGACCCAAACTGTCCTTAAAATTTTTTAAATATAAAAGGGGGTTAAAATTCACACATAAAATCCTGAAATTACTAAAAATTGACCCAAACTGTCCACAAAAAAATTATAAAAAATAAAAGAGGGTCTGAGCCCCTTATAAAAACCTTCTGAAATTGACCCAAACTGTCCTTAAAAAACTTAAAAATATAAAAAGGGGTCAGAATTCCTGCTTAAAATTGCTAAAAATTGACCCAAACTGTCCACAAAAAAATCCCAAAAAATAAAAGTGAGTCAGATTCCCCTCCCAAAATCCCACAAACGTCGTCTAAAAAAACCCCGAACTCTTCGAAAATTCCACAAAAACCGCCCCAAAAATTCACATCCCTGCGGTTTCCCCATCGCCATCCCCACATCCTGTCCCTCCCCCAGCCTTTCCTCCACCCTCTGGACCTTCTGGCACAAGCAGCCACTTGTCCTTCCGGCCCCTCCACCACATCACCACCAGGACCAGCAGGACCACCAGGAGCACCAGGCCCAGGACCCCCAGGACCACCACGGTAATCACCAAGCCCTGGGAGCTCTCCGGGCCCGGCCCGGGGGGTTGGACGTCCAGGTCGGTTTGCAGACACAGCCGGGTGTTGTTGGGGGTTGGGTGGTCCCACACGGGGGTTGGATAGGCCAAGTTGCGCCGCTCGTCCCACACGGGGGTTGGATAGGCCAAGTTGCGCCGTTCTTGAGAGCTCCCGATTTTCCCGCGGGAGGTTCGGTGATCCCTGGGGGTCTTCGGGGTTTGATGGCTCCAAACGGGCTCTTGGAGGTCCATGGTGCTCAACTGCGGATTCTCGGTGACCCTGGGTGAAATTTGGCGGCCCTTGGTGGTCCCCAGATCTTGGCGGCCCTTGGTGACCCCCAGATCATGGTGGCCCAGGGTGATCCCAAGGGGTTGGTGATCCCCCAGGGGCTGGTGGCCCTTGGTGGTGCCAGGGGTTGGTGGCCCTTGGTGATCCCCAGGGGTTGGTGGCCCTTGGTGATCCCCAGGGGTTGGTGGCCCCCAGATCTTGGTGGCCCTTGTTGGCCCAAGGGGTTGGTGGCCCTTGGTGACCCCCAGATCATGGTGGCCCAGGGTGATCCCCAGGGGTTGGTGGCCCCCAGGGGTTGGTGGCCCCCAGATCTTGGTGGCCCTTGGTGGCCCAAGGGGTTGGTGGCCCTTGGTGATCGCCAGGGGTTGGTGGCCCTTGGTGACCCCCAGATCTTGGTGACCATTGGTGATCCCCCAGGGGTTGCTGGCCCTTGGTGGTCCCAGGGGTTGGTGGACCCCAGGTC